ATATAACAGGGATCTCTGAGGAAGCTTTAAGATCACAGTCCCTGTAGGGGGCGCTCTGCTCAGACGAGGCAGGAAGGAGCTTTTATGATGAGCAACGACTGCAGGATCTCTAAGGCTAAGCAGACTGATCTCTGTTTATTCACTGGGTAGCTGATAGACTGCTGGTAGTACACGCTGCTGTAAAGTCACCAGCCGCCATATTGGTACTCCCTAGTTAGGCCGATCGGAATGTAAACAATACGTTAGCTGGTCTCCACTCTCCTTAAAGCCAATCACGCTGTTTTATTTCCTGATCTTATTAAAGAATGGTCACCATTTTTCACATTCTACAACTGAGTTGAGAGGGGATGGGATTTATTTATTTTTGTTGTTTTTTTTTTTTATATGAGCGAGATGCTCATCGTTTTATTTTTATTTAGTCATATTTACAGTAAATGAAGAACTAGTGAATTTATTTTTAGATTACACAAAAAAAAGAGTAATTGCAATCTTCTCCTTCCTCTCTTTTCTAGCTGTAGCGCTATTTTTTTTTTTTTTTGCATTTCTGCATTAAAATCTCTGGTTCCAGTGGGGTGAAATAGGCACTTCCTATTGCCTGTTGTCATGGTGACTCATCCAATCGGCGCTCCACTGATCATGGCTTTTCATACTTGTTGCGCACGCGTTTCAGACTGAGTGGACCTATTTAAAATTGATTGAATTGATAATAATTTAATTGATAGCAGCCTTTATCAGACTGAAGACTCAGACTTTAGGCTAGATTAATTTAGAGTTGAGGATTAGAATCTGAATTTGTTAAACCTGCTTGGTGAAACGGACCCCATGATCTGTTGTGATGCTGCTATAGGAACTGAAGTTTAGGACAATGGAGGCCAACATGATTAGCTGGCTGATGCATGGATCTACATCCTGGTCCTCAGCTACCACTGCTCTGCATGTTTTAGATCCCTTCTGCCAAACACATCACTTCTATTAGAGAAGGATTCATTTGAAGCAAATGCATGGTGTGTTTTTCTGCTGTCATTGTTTTGGTATATCATTAAATGAAAGCATAGCCTCGCCCCCAACATGAAGCTGTTGTTTCTGTTACCTTCAATCCAGAGCAGAGAAGGAGGCGTCTCTGCTGCAGAAGAAGAAGACGGAGCTCCAGCAGCGGCTAGCTGACCTTAGAAGAGGGCGAGCGTTTCTCCAGGACATCAGAGGGCTCACCACGCAGTACCTGGCCTACCGCCGCAGGAAGCCCACTGAGAAGAAGACGGTATGAATGAAAGACGATATAAACCGAGGCTTTGATCATTTCTAAGGGGGGGATTTACCATTAGGCAATAATAGGCAGTTACCCAGGGCCCCAAGTTCATGGGGGCCCAATAAAACTCTGTTTACAGGTATGGTTAATACTACGATTCATTATTTGTGTACATTAATTATGTTTTTGTTAAAAATCCTTTCTTTAAAATGCCATCAGAACGCCTATAATAATGTATGTCTGTTCTTATAAAATTTGAAATTAACTTTAATTCAGTAAGTTGAGTGATAACTGAGAGGAAAAGGATGACACAACAAGAAAATGAAAACAAAAACGTAACGGCTGCAACATTCCTGTTCCTTTTAGGCTGCTTCAAAATTACAGATCTTTTTTTTTTTTTAGATTTATGTTTTTATTGAGAAAGCACATCACATTACAATCATATAATTATATCCATTTCGTTGTCATTTTTACAGTCTCGGTTTTTACACTTATTTTTCCTTAACAGAAAAACAGACACCCACACTAAAATAACAACAAAAAAAGAGAAGTGGTGGGGAAGCCTGGGTATTAAGAATCAATGACATCACAAATCCAATTGAACTGAATGAAAGTGAGGTTTATGTAAAATCACTCATAACATGTTTGACATATTCTGTCCACTTCGACCATACCGTTTAGAAACTGTCCCTCTGCACATTAATGACATAAGACAGTCTCTCTAATACATAAATCTATGTTAATCCAGTCCTCAATTGTTGGGAGGTTCCCGCTTTAAGCCATTTTCTTGTGATGCCTTTTTGCTCCCCGCCAGCAAAATGTCCCGAAGCTTCTGATCATCATAGTTCAGTTTATCGACCGCTTTGTTACTCAGAAATATGCATTCAAAGGTTAAAGGAAAATTAAATATGAGAATGTTCTGTAAATGCTCATGAATTTGAGACCAATATTGCTGGATGGTTTTAGCCTAATAAACTAGCCCCACCCACCAGCGGCCAAAATCATTTCTGCCTGTGAGTTTGTCTAGCCTCCATTAATGCCCCAGACCCTAGAACTGGCTGGCCAATCAGAACGCAGAGATGTGTTTTGAATTTCTGGATGCAAAGTGGGCGGGGTTTTGAGGGCGTGACGACAAAGCTGCTGGACGCTGGAGAAAGCACAACAAGGAAGATGGCAGCAACTATTGAACATTCTCGTTCAGCTTTGGAATCAGTTTTGGAAGGATTAGACTTGGGGTTTTCGTTGAAACGTGAGTAGGAAGAGGCTCTACGCTCATTCTTTTTTAAGAAGGACGTATTCGCTGTTTTACCTACAGGCTGTTTGTTTACAATCCCCCACCAGCTTTCTGTCACGTGCAGTAAGTTGCGTTCATTGTTTAGAGTGTTGGCCAATAGGCACAGACATGGTTTGAAAAACAACGGGTTGTTCTCATCAACAATCTTCCGATGTCTCATTCATCGGGGCCAGACTAAATTACACATTTAATCTCACATTTAGTCTGGTTTAGCAGGCTGGGGTGGTTTGACAGCTCCAGAAAATATGGAAGTGATTTGCACCATTCCTGCCACATCTCCAGCAGGTGTCACCATTTCACCTGATATCTTTTTTTTTTTTGCTTTGGAGTTATGAAAAAAATCTTATAATACTTTTCCAGCAAAATTCACGCCAACCCTTTGATCTTGTTGTTGTCCATTGGTATCTTACAGATGTGGTCCCAGTCGTCCTATGGAATCCTCAGGCTTTTTCCCACTTCACTTTAACATAAACAGTGCTGTCCTTCTTAAGGGCAATTTATACTTCTGAGGCATCTGCGACCGTCAAATCTGTCTGTGTGTAGCAGATGTTCTGCAACTGTCGTCGCGCAAAACATAAAATATTGACTACGTGTCGGACGGTCGCAAACCCCAAGTAGACCTCAACCAGAAGTGCGCAGACAAAAAGCAGCCGTGATTGGTCCTTTCCTGCTGTCTGTGTGGTCGTCCTTCTCGAATTAGTGCCAGGTCGAAACTCCCCAGTCTCATCCCTGGTCTGATTTAAGGGGCGTACAGACACACTTAATATTATTAGCCTTCTGATGGCATTTTAACGAAAGGATTTTGATCAAAAACATAATGTGAATGAATGAGGAATGGTTGTACTAACCATACATGTGAACAGAGTTTTATGGGGCCCCCAGGATGTTGGGGCCCTTGGCAACTGCCTAGCGATTGCCTGTGGGTTAAAGAAATCACTGGAACATAAATTGATGGTAAATAAATTTAATAAACCCAATTTAAATCCCTCTTGCGTTTGGCAGCCAATGTTAGCAAAGGAGGGCTCTAAAACTAACAGTACTAGCCAATCAGAAGAAGAAGGGGGCGGGTGCTATTTGTGCGGTCAGGCACACTACACGTCTGCTGGGCGCTACGCCGACAGCTGATGTACCTGCGTCAATAATTGACCGTGTATGTGAGTTAAAAATAAGGGTGTGTGATTTCCTCGCCGAACACGACCTCTCATTCACACTAGATATAGATGCACTTCTGCCATCTTCTGGCCGATTTTGGTATTGATTTACAAAAAGTCTTCAAGCCTTCATGCAGTCTCTGACCCCATGGCCCCCACACCCCCCTGGCATGGCTTGAAAACATACACGCACATATAAATGAGTTTCTTGCCTGTGTCGGAAAAGTTCAGGCTGTGGATTTTTTTTTTTTTTCTTTTATTCCTTGTTATTGTTAATTCCCCCCTGGATGTAATAATGATCAGATGGGTGAAGGGTTTGGTGTAAAGTTATGATTGTATATCATGTTCTAGTAGAACAACACTTTCTGGCAGAAGGAGAATCCTTTTCTGAACCTGCTGTTTATTTACCAACCAGTGCAGCGGATGTGATGTTAATGGGATGTTTTTTTCTCCTTAGTATGGAGGATCCAGTTTAGCAGCTCTGCTGCTGGAAACCAAGCTGACCCAGAGAGCCAGCAGACGTCGGATGAGAGCTGCTCAGCAGGCCAGGAAATAATCAGCTCCTCCTTTACATCAACGCAGCATTTTACACATCAAAACTCTGTATTATTTCTCAATAAATAATTTTTTCCCCAATGTATTTCTGTTATTATTTATATCATTATATTCAAAGTGGGGTCAGTTTAAATGATCCTGGTGACTCTAACTAAATTTCCCGCCAGCACTGATAAAGTATCATTTAGCTTTATTACTGTAATAGAGTTGAATTATGGGGAATTTTTATTGTGACTTGTTTATTCCAAGGAAATAAAGCAGGAAGGTAAACTGTGCTTCCCACCAACCAATCAGCTTCAGTCTGTGTTGGCCCGCCCACATAGCAGCGGCCTCTGATTGGCTGATAGTTACAAGTTCATACTCTAGTAGAAACATGTCTAATGTTGAACAGACACCTTTTCCTCCATGCTGGTAGCAGCTGACGGGGCAGAGCAGAAGAAGAAGCAGCAGCTGCAGCAATAAGGTGAGTGTTTGATCCACTTAGCTGGATTATTAATCTGTTACAGAATAATAATCCAATGATAATCTGCTGGAGTTTGATCAGTTTTCAGTAAAGTTCTGGCTGGAAGCCTGCAGGTGATCTTTACAACTGTCAGAAAGACTGACTCATTTCCTGCCGCTTTGATTCATTTTCGATTTGTTTTCATTATCTGCTGATTTATTAAGGACTAGATAAGGTCAGAGTTTAATAACAGGCTGATCTGAATGAAAAGCAAAGCTGCTTCGTTTTCAGCTCCAGCTGCCTGTCAAACAGGTCAGTCCACCGAGAACCAGCAAAAAAATAACAGGAGGAACACATTTTTACTACTGAAAACAATTTAATCATTGCTCTCTTTTGCACATTTTCACTTTTTTTCTTTTTAGATCTGTAAATATATATAGTTACATATGTATACATGTTTATATTTAGTGAGAAAAGTTTTATTTCCTTAGATGATGAATGTGTACAATATGTTGTTTGTAACGAAGATAATTTCATTAAAGTATTTCTGATTCATACAAAAAAGCTACTTGGAGGAAACAACTACTGAGGTACTGAGTAATTATGGCTCCTAACATCTGATTTAATGTTTAGAATCAAATCAAACCCAATCATTGTTTAAATGTATAAAAGTAGTATCTACAGTAGGGGATACATGAATGTCAGAAAAGGATCAAGGATGTCACTATTTACTGTGTCTCACCTGATTTCTAAATATCTTCTGTGGTCTAAGTAGGAATCACTTTACTTTTACAAGGAAATGATAAGATGGAAAAAATACCATAAAGTGAAACTACTCCTAAAAAATCTTTTCCCCTTAAAGGTTACTCAGCTCTTTGTAATTGAGCAACTAGCCTCTACCCAGAGGAGCCGCCATGTTCCTGTGGGCTGGTCTCTGCTTCGAAGAGGTGATGTTCCTGATCTGAAATGTTCTGCTTTCACAGCGACTCATTTTCCAGGAACAAGCAGGTTATATCCGCCTCCTGAACGAGTTAAAGTAAAACCCAACAGGATGGTGAATGAAAGGGATTATTTTCCCAACCATGAAATCCTTCAGCATATATTAAAGTGTAGGGAAGTCATATTTAAATGTCAAATCATTCTGGCTTAAACATGTATATAAATGTTCTCTTTATCAGACTATATTGTGCCAAAATTTAGAAAAGTTTTATTTTGAAAAAAATCCTGTTAAAGGGAAAATTTTCCTCTCCACTGTTGCTACAAGCATGCTTAATGGCATTCTAGTTAATCAATCGATGCAATCAGCCGGTTTTCCTTAGATAGAAAACTTTGAATCATTTTGACTTTATGATCTGCTGAACTATAAAGAGTCTTGAGATGACGTGTTGTGAATTGGCGCTATAGAAATAAAGCGAATTGAATAGAATAGAATTTAACCTACGGCTGCAAAAGATGTTTTCAAATGTTTTAACAATAAAAAACTGAAAAGAGCTGCATGCATTTATATTGGGCTCCATTAATGAATAGAAACAAGAAAGCCTGCATGTTTCCTTCAGTCTTCGGCAGCCTGGTAGAGACATTATGTTCTGATTCATAAAAGAATCGGATTACATAAAGTGGATGTTTATAGCCCTATAACTGGACTTTGACTGGACCTCTCTGTCATGAGATTATGCCTTTATCTGAATCCAGTCCTAAAGTTCATCCCTCATGGTTAAGTCTTTAGCAGGAATCATGTTTGGTGAGAAGTTAATTCATCCACCTGATCCAGGTGTGTTTTGGACGCTTGACAAACTTCAAAGTAACGTGATTCCAGATCTGGAACTGGACACTCCTGACCTAAAATGCTCTATTAAGCTTCTTTTTAAATGTTACCAACAATTGACAGATGAGGCACCAAAAGCCATATTTAAACTTTATGAGCCTCAAACTTCATGATTGGCTCACTGAACCCTCTCCAATGCTTTACTTTGCATTTAGGATAGCCCAACATTGATACTGGGAATGTATTTGCACTGGCTCCTCTCGATGTGGAGGATCAGCAGCTCCTCTTTGAGCCTCTCACCCTCTCTGTAAGGAGGTGCTTGGCCGCTTGAACCCAGGATGTTCATAGCTTTTATGGACAGGTTGGGGTCCTGTTTGGGGATAAGTGGCCAGAATACGGATCAGTTCCTCCAGATCCAAAGCCATGGTTCTGGTTCTGGTTCTGGACAGGAAGAAGGTGGCTTATTTTTTTCAGGTTGGAGGAGTTCAAGTATCTTTGGCTTCTGTTCATGAGTTAGAGGAGAATGGAGCAGGAGATCAATAGATGGATCAGTGCAGCTAATGCTTTGTCTGTTGTGGTGAAGAAAGCCAAGTTTACTGGTTGGTCCAAGTTACTACTGTCACCTATAGTCATTAAACCTCTGTAGCATAGCGTCACTGTGTAGTGGACAGCTAATAAAATGTAAATATCTCTTTAATTTTATGGTTTCTATGGTGAAACTGCATATTAGTGTCTAGAATGCTCTCTGCTGCCACACTCCATTGAGGTCAATTTAGTGGTCAGTCATTGTAACTGCAAGTAAATTTCTTCTGAATCCAAGATGGCCACCAATCATCAACCCCTGTCGACCACTGCTGGCATATTCTCTCAATCCTTCTATTGTAGAAGAGCCCAACAGAGAAAAAAATATGATGATTTACAGTAACATCTAAGGAAGGATATTATCAGTTTGAAATATAATTTTTTTTTATCCATTATGTAGAAAATTACCGTTAACCATGTGTCCAATGAAGTGGACGTCATGCATCAGCCATTACATTTTTCTCAACATAGGTCATATAATTGTTTATATTATAATTCAGTGTATTGACCTTGGACATATAAGCTATTCGTTTAAAATTTACATTTTAGTATACTTTGTGTATATTTTGTGCAGATAAGCTGTAGTATGTGACTATTTTAAATTGAAAAGCTTCCTGGATTGGAAGCGAAACATCCTCAAACTTGGAAAACTAACTCCAGTGCTTTGTTTTGAAAACTTTTTTTGCAAGGACTTTAGCATTTATTTATATTGTAGACTTCAAACACAGCGAAGAATAAGGCAGCCTAGAGGAAAGTGAGGGTGATGAGGGCCAGGATACAGAGGAAGGTCAGCAATGATCAGGAAGCTGTGGATGACGGGTACAGAGTACCCGACCATACTGATGCCCATAAATATATCTGGATAATCCAAGACAATGAATTTGGCGGAGACTTGACCAAGGCTTTCATAAATAATGCATCAGAGGGTTAAATCTGGATCATGACTGAAAGAACGACATCCTGGACCCAAACTGCTAAAATGAGCTTCCTCTAAAGGGTGGCTGGGCTCTTCCTTAGAGAGAGGGTGAGGAGGTTGGTCATCAGGGAGAGGCTCGGAGTAGTGCTGCTTCTCCTCCACATTCAGCTGAGGAGGACGAGACTTCTTTTCCTGATGCCCTCATGACGCCTCCCCCAGGAGGTGTTCCAGGCACGTCCCACCCAGGAGGAGGCCCAGGGGACGACCCAGGGACCATAGAGGGACTCTGTCTCTATGCTGGTGTGAAGTCAGGAAGCTGAGACAGAGGCATTCCTTGCAAGAAAAAACATTCAAATGTATTGAGCGTCCTCAGACGGAGAGATACAGCTCTGACTGAGGCAAAGCTCAGGTCTTACATTTATACCTTACAAAATCCCAACACAGACACTCCCCCCAGGGGAAACAACCCACCCTCTGCATAAAGAACTTTCTCACACTTGAACATTTGGAGGATCAGCAGGGCCATTCCCTGTTAGGTTAATATATCTTTCACTGGCCAGATGGATCTCCTCAAAACAGCCGTCCTCCCCTTCATGCCATGAAGGAGGCTGTGTAACTTATTCTGATCTCACATGTCCTTTCTTTGGAGCCTGTGAGGCTAAGAACAGACATACACCACCGTTCACAAGTTTGGGGTCACATTGAAATGTCCTTATTTTTTAAGGAAAAGCACTGTACTTTTCAATGAAGATAACTTTAAACTAGTCTTAACTTTAAAAAAATACACTCTATACATTGCTAATGTGGCAAATGACTATTCTAGCTGCTCAATGTTTTTGGTGCAATATCTACATAGGTGTATAGAGGCCCATTTCCAGCAACTATCACTCCAGTGTTCTAATGGTACAATATGTTTGCTCATTGG